CTTCCATGGGCCAGGGCGGCTGTGCCCAGACCCCAGCTCCACGGTGGGCATATAAAGCCCCAGCACCCACAGGGTCTGCAGGCACCCTGGTGTGGGGAGCTGCTCCCAGATAACGACCTGTGCTCCTACACCCATAATTCAGGAGGAGACGGGAACATGCCTGGAGCTTCAGCTCATTAATTATGAACCACCCAAATCAGTCAGGCCCTGGCTCTCCCCGTGCCTTGCTGGGCAGTACAGGAGCAGTGCTGGCAGCCACAGCTATTTGTGCCACTGTAAAATTAGCTCTGTGGAAAGAGCATTCAGTGCCCCGAGTCCTGGCCCAGGGCACTAAGGGTTGCTGCAGCCTCAGGAACTGCCCCCATCCCTATGCCAGCCAGCCCCAACCCTTGGGAAAGCAACAGGGTCCCACAAGCACAGGGACCACAAGGAGCCTGAGCCATGTGCAAGGAGAGGATTCGGCCATGGGGATTTATTGCACAAGGAGGAATGGGGAAGGCTCATGCCTGCCTGCATAGCCCTAACAAAGAGACACAGAGCCAAAAAGGCAGCAACCCACAGCCATCGGCGAGGACGTTGGCTTTATTCCAGCCCCTAAAGCATCCCTCTCCTGGCTGCTCCACTATCCAGCTCCAGGCGCATTGTAGGGCAGTTCTGGGCTTGCAGAGATCAACTGCTGCAGACATCCAGGTTTCCAACATCTTCACTAGCCAAGGTCCCAACATGCTTTTTTGTCCCGTCAACCCATGAACCAGAAGCATCACCAGTGCGGGAGGGAGATGCTCGTGTGGAGGCTGGTGAAACGCTGGCCCAGATGTTATGGGGTTGGCAAGGAGGGGCCGAGCAGGGTCAGGAGGAGCAGTGGGGAGAGGAGCTGGTGCGGGACCCTGTGTGGGGACACTCCACTGGCTGTGGCTGCCCGGGAGGCGAAGACCTTTCGGCTGTGGAGGGGCTGCGGCGGGCGGAAGTTGTTGGTCATTTTGGGAAGCGTGGAGCCAACAGCCGGGAAGTGGAGGGTGCTGACGAAGGCCTGCAGCTGCGCAGGGAGAGGCAGGGGGGGGGGCCGCCCCTGTGCCCAGCCCCACCAGCCCCTGCCCACATGTGAGGCCCCTTCCCTGCTGTCCCTGGTGTACACAGGGCTCGTAGCATAGCCCCACACCAGAGGGGGGCCTCCCGCAACCCCTCACTGCTCTCCCAAAATCAGACCCATAGGGTAAGCATGTGAATCAGGTCCTTAAAAGGATCAGGTCTTGAGTTTTAAAGGAGCTAATTGTGTTTCAGTGGCTGTGCTGAGCACTTAAAGAGTAGCTGGCCCATGAGTCCCTCAAGGAGACACATCTGCTAAGGTGCTTGGGCAGTAGAGGAGAACTCCATCCATTCATCCGTCCATCCATCTACCCACCTACCTCCTTGGACCCTCCTCTGAGCACCAGTGGGTTTGTTCCCATTTCACTCTGTGAATACTAGGGCTGGGCAGAGAGCACTATGGACAGGATTTCTCCACACTGGCATGTGGCCATGGCTCCATTACTTAACCCTCATTATATTAATTAATTGCCTGGTTGCCAGGAGCATTATTGTAGCGATGACTTTCCCTGTGCTTAGGGGTTGGAAAGGGCAAGGAGAGGGGCCACCCAGGAGGCCCATCCCCTCAGGCTGTGCACGCTGGTACCTGCTCCCGACCGATCTCCACCGGCTCCTCAAAGACAGTCCAGACGACGACCTCGCTGCAGTCAGGGGTGGTGAGGGAGCCCTGGTAGCGGTAGTACCCGGAGAGCCGGCCAGCACGTGGCAGGAGCGTGCTCAGGCGGAAAGTGGAGGCCAAATCCACAGAGTCCCCTGTGAGGCGGGAAGTGGGCACTCAGCCTGTGCCATGTCAGGGATGTGATGGGGATAGCAGGGCCACCCCCATCAGTTTCCCCTCAGCCAGATGGTCCCATGGACTGTCAGGTCCCTCCCAGTGCAACTCGATGAGGGGGGTTTCTCCCCTTTTCGCCACTGCGCCATCAAGAAGGTGACGTACCTGCATGGGAGATGTTCCTCAGCCCCGCCACAATGGTGTTGTAGTTGGTGTTAGGAGTTTCGGAGACCTGTGGATAAGGAGGGTAAGCAGCTGTGGCAGGGCAGAGCCAGGCCATTCTGTGTTGCTGAGCATCCACAAGCAGAGCCAGCCCCACATCCTCACAGAGCAGCAGTGGGGAAGAGCTCACAGCTCCTGCTGCACGGAGCCAGTGGGGGGCACCTTTCACCACGAAGGTTCTTCAGCACCTCCTGGCCTTGGCCCAGCCTTCCTGCCCCTCTTGCTCCCCTTGAGCAGCCGTACAAGGCTCCACCAGCCCAGGGTCCCCTCCCTCTAGCAGTTGCAGACCCACCTGGAAGAAGAAGCCGAGGACAGCCAGCCCATTGGGATGCCCCTTGGCCTCTGCCCGCGTCTGGTACTTAGTGTTCATGTGGACAACGTGCATCTGGGGAAAACACAGAGGGGCCAAGCATGGGCAACCATCCCCAGCTGACCTGCAGCAGAGGGATGCTCACCCATGGATCCTCCCAGCCAGCCTGGGGCAGGCAGACCTCCAGAAAAACCCTCCTGGTCCCACAGGCACTTCCATGGGGAAGCTGCTCAGAGGATCAAAGTACCGCAATGAAGGAACATTCTATGAAGGGAGCATGGGAAGGGGACCAGCAGTCCTGGGTGCCCACCAGCCACAGTACATCAATTTTGCTCTCCTCCAGCTGATATTTAATATTTTAGAGGCACAAAGCCTCTTTCACCCAGAAGGATCCCAACACACTTGGCACAGCACGCCCCTGCACACTCTTGCTTGTATTCACTCACTCAGTGGGGCACAGAGCCCTCCAAACCTCACCTAGTGCCTCCAACGAGGCAGCCTGGCCCCACACACCATGAAGAAAAACCTTAGAGTCTCGCATCTACTGATTTTTAACCACCTAGGTGCCCTGTGCAGCAGCTACCTGTATCCCACCATCAGCACAAGCGATGGGGAGCATGGCCAAACCCACCAGTGCAGCATCCCCAAGCCTGCATGGCAGCCTTGGAATGCACCATCATCACATCTTCCCATCACACCAAGGACTTGGGGCCACCCAAAGAGTGCAGTGGGTGTTTTGCCTCACCTACCTCCATGGGGAGCTGGCACCCATCAAGAGTGTGCTCGGAGCCATTCCTGACTGGGCTACCCCAGTGGAAGTGGAGCTGCAGTGCCTGGTACCTGCCGGGGAGGCCCCCGCCGCTGATGGTGATGTGCTCAGAGACCAACTCACTCGCCAGGTTCAGCATCACTGCAAGGGCAGCGGGATGGGGTGAGGATGCAGGACAGCCCTGGCACACTTTCACTCATCCTCCTCAGGCTTCATCCCAGCACTAACACACACAAGGGCAGAGGACACCCAGGAGCAGCACTGGAACTGCGCTGGGGCAGGACAGTGCCTGGGAGCTGGGACAGGGAGGGATGCCCCATGCAGCTCATACCTGTGTGCCCATCATTTGCCAACCTCCACTTGCCCGGGGGGGCCTGGTCGTAGCCTTCGAAGAGGATGTCCCCGAGGCCCCGGTCCCGCTGCAGCCGGCGCCTGTCGATGTTCACAGGGGACTGCTTGCTGCCACCGCATGTGGCTTTCAGCTCCTTCCAGTGGCTGGGGCCTGCAGAGGAGGAGCAGGGGCACCACGGGCAGCCCCCAAAGCACAGGGCACCTGGGTCTTCAGCCAGCCCTGGAGTCCCTGTCAGCCCCGCCATGCTTGCCTGCATCCCGTGGGAGCTGCCCTCCTGCCCAGCCAGCCTTCCTCCCTATTGATGAGCAGGGGCTTTTTGAAAGTCTCATCCATAATGCAGCAGGATTTCCTCAGGGGGCTGGGGGCTACATTTAGCCTGGCACACTGCTGGTGAAGGGCAGGCTTTCTCCAGCCCCTTCTGCCCATCTCTGCAAGCAAACCCTCCCTGTGGGGCTGCGCTGGCTGCCAACCACAGCCCCTGGGCTGGGGCTCACACCAGGGCTGGGCAGGGGACTGCTCTATGTAGAGGGACCCCACAGAGCACCTGTGAGGGAAGGACAGAGAGGAGCCACTGAGTAGCAATGAAGGAGTTGAGGCCCATTCGCAGGACACATGGTTTGGGTTTTACCACGTTTACATTTTACCCTGTGTGTCCTGCACTTGTCCAGTTGTAGCAGGTGATGGCGCATCCTGGCCACACAGCTCATGCTGGGGCAAATTCCACATGGGGTCCAGTGTGACTGCATGATCCCCATCAGCAGGTCCCAGGGTAGGGGGTCACCACGGCAAGAACTACCAGTGCCAGCAACCAGCTGGACCCACTGCAAACCCAGAGTGCTGCCTGGGGGCCATGAGCAGAGGTCACCATGGCTGTCACCATGGCCAGACCACACACCACACGTGTGGCTCACTGTCCCCATCACTCCAGCATCCTCTCTTCTTGCAGCAGTGAACACTTGTTGCGGTCCACGACTGTGGGATGGGACATAGCCAGCCACCCTGCTGGTCACTGCTTCAGTGTGGCTGTCCTGACACCTTGCTCCTTCACTTGGTGGCCCTGGGGCAGCCCGAGCTACATGTGCTGGGGTGGAGATGTTGGCACTGGGCTGCATCCCATCCAGGGAATGGGAATGGGAGCTCCCCCAACACCTGCAGTCCTGTCCTCCCAGGGCACCCCCAGTCCTGGGGCATATCAGGGCATCCCCCCTTGGCACTGCTGGCTCTGCTGTGGCGCACATTATGGCTGGGTAGCCTTTGTCTACAACCAGGGTCTGGACGGGCCGTTCCTCCAGCAGCACCCTATGGTGCACCTCTTGCATTTACTGACCTTCCTCTAGGGCAGACAAAATCACAGACACATGCTCCCCTGCCTCCTGTACCCCTGGGCTCAGCCCTGTCTCCTTCCCTTCTCCTCTCATTACTCCAGGCAGCTTTTTGCCTGGAAACCCTGGGAGCTGCAGCCTGGCCATGCCACCACCCCACCAGCTCCCCAGTATGCTGCTATCAGGTGGCCCCACAAATTACCCGGTGCCTTCATCAAGAGACCGATCCCTAGAGCCCTGCTGCGGGCACATGGCCGGCTCCACGCTGCCCAAGCCACTTCCCACCAGCCCTGCTCCCCTGCTGAAATCTGCTCTCGCCACTGGCCTGGTGACATCGGATTGCTGGTAACATGGAGCGCCGGTCTGGCAGGGATAAGCAGAACCCAGCTGCCATGGCACATCAGTCATGACCGGTGAGCATGAACTGCTGGGCACAAGGCATGTAAACCCAAGAGCTATAAAACAGTTGGTCTGTAACAGCTGATTAAATGCTCGTTGATCTTTAATTAACCTTTTACAAGCTATTTACCTGCTTCTAGACAAAGTGCCCCTAGCCATGCTTCCCGTCCCCTACTTACTGCCTGACCAAACAGAGCCATCCCTCCTCCAGCCATGCCCCTATGCCCCATGGCCCCCTCAATGCCTTGATGGGGTTGCTAATGGCATGTTTTACATGTGTGATTTAATTTGCTGCAGGTGAAACAGGGGAGGCTGGTGCTGCCCTGGGAGCACCCTGACCTGGCTGGCGTGGGCTCAAGCACATGTCTCCAGTCTCTGGATCAGCACACTTGAAAGTGATGCTCCTCTAAGCAATCCCACCTTGGTGTGACATGGGTGAATCTGCCCTTTTCCAAGCCATGCTCCCCACTGCAGCCTCACTGGTGCTGCCCACAGTGCCCTCGGCCAGGCACTGTGGGGAGACGTAGGGGTCTGAGTCCCACACAGCCCCGACACCCCCATCCCTGCACATGGCACCACTCACCGCACTGGGGGTCCTGTGAGTCATAACACCACTGCCCTGCAGGAGAAAGGAGAGCTCAGTGCAGGTGATGGAGACAGGACCAGCTCCTCAAACCTACCCACAGCTGTGCCCAGCCCCCCAGTGGCGAGGGCACCCCTCATCGCAGCCAGGGGTCCCACCAGCACTTGTGTTCATCCCTGTTATTCTTAGCACTGGTGCTTTCACACCTTCCCTACCTCCCCCAGCCGCTCCACAGGGAAACCTCCCTCAGCATCACTCCACTCCGTGGCAGCCAAACCTCAGTGCTCATGGGGCTCCATCCCCAGCTGCTGTGGAAGCATTGCCCCTTGCCCACCCTGGGGACCCTAGGCAGCCCCTCACCACACACATCACCTTCCCTTAGGTGAGTGGGAAGCTGAGGGCACTGCTGCAGCCCCCACGGCTATTCCCGCAGCTCCCAGGGGTGGGCTGGCAGCAGAAGGCAGCTGCTGGGGGCTGCTGGAGAGGCCCGTGCCCACCACGCCGGGACGACAGCTCCCCACATCGCTCCGGCACCTTAGCCGGAGCTGCCGAACTCCCACCAGTGCTGTGCCTGCGCTCAGAACAGCTACAGGGAGCGTGCACTTGATGCCGGGTGCCGGCACAGCAAACGTGCGGATGCCGAGGATGCCAGGGAAGGCAGTGCTCTGCTCCTGCTATCTGCACATCCACCCAGGGCCATCAGCTCTGCAATGGGAACCAGGGAGTGCACCCCTTTCCTCCTCAGCTCCCTATCCTGCTCCTGGCAGGAGGCACAGAGCAAGCCAGTGCTGCCCGGGGCCAGCCTACCAGAGCAGTATCCACCGATTC